ATTAACAATGTAATTATTCTTGCCTGTAAAATGCTATCCCTTAGTGAGTAACTTTGTCTTTAGTTAACTTGTTAATTTCATATTACTTTCAAGAATAATGATACAACATGAACATACAGTACTATTCCTTCATGTGTTAGTAGTATCTAATGGTATTTAAAACATGTTAATGTGTATTGTGTTCTTATTATTAGTATAACTTACCTTAATCTCTTTTTGTTGTTAGAAGAAAAGGAGACATCATAGGGGTAAATGGAAGCATTGACGAGGTGGCGGGAGAGGAGCAGGAAGAGGAGGTGGCCAAGGAGGAGGAGATGGACAAAAAAGAGGGGCAGCTGGCCAAGAAAGAGGGGGAGGTGGCCAAGGAAGCGGGGGAGGTGGCCAAGGAAGAGAGGGAGGTGGCCAAGGAAGAGGCCAAAGAGGAAGAGGAGGCCCTGCTACAACAGTAAGAGAAAGAAACATCATTAAACATAACAATAACAACAAATTTTTCATAGGATTCATCCACAAGTGCAAAGACAATAAACTATTTTAACGTTACATGTAAAGAACTTAATTATACTTCCAAATAAAAATAATATATATATTACCTGTAAACTCAAGAAAAAGCGATGGTTGGATTTGAATGAAGTATGGGGATGATCCGTGTTCAAAACTGTCCATAATTAGGAGTTTTAGCACTAGAGGACGTAATAATAACTCTGTAACTAGGTAATGAAAAAACTTACTAGTATTTGAAGCCACCATGAATGGCAGGGCTTTAGACAACTCTTACGATGTCCATTATACAAGAAATGATAGTTCAAATGCTGTGAAAAGCAAGTCAAAAGTGCTTCTTTCTTCATTCCCCGTTTATTAATTGATTTGGGTGTGGTTTTTCCTGGTAGGCGTGGTTTCATGTACTACATGAACGGGCATGACACGGAAACATTGAAAATAACTTAAAATGGCTTTTCTCTGTACTAGTATTCCAGAGCAATCGTCCAAACAGCATCCATAACTTCCAAATTTTATTGTGCATTGTCATAAACGGGATATTGCTGGAAAGGAATTTTCTCTAT